GTACAGCAGGGCACCAAATCCCTAACAATTCCCATCAGCTTCTTAACAAATCCAAATACCCGTAATAGCAGCACAAATAAAACACCCATCGTAAAGAACTTAAAAAACTTACGGTAAACCTATTCCCAATAAAGTATCCATATAACATCCAACATTAAAAAAAAAAAAAGACACCTTAACCATTTCAGCCCGTACGAAAATTTTTGCCAAACATCTCGATGCCACGGCAACGCAGGACCACCACGAGCCTCACTCGGATTGAGCGTGCTAGACAGCAGTGAACGAGAGGGTAGGCATGAGCGTGCCTGGATCCACTGAGAGCTATACCATGTCTGTGCAGTTTCATGGTGTAAGGGCCACACACCTCATTTTTCCTGGCCTGACCTCCCCAGATACCACCAAAAGAGCCTGTACTTGGTCACTGGTCCCTGGATCTGTCAGAAGCCATTCTGCAGTTGGGGGTACTGGGGGAGCTTGTGCAAAGAGGGGGAAGACAGACCCACAGCTCTGACACTCACCTCTGCAGCTGGCCACATTTGACGCTGCTCAGCAGTAGCTCTCGGCTCTCTGGATCCGGACACGCAGCATACGCTTCCATCAGGCTGGGAACGAAGAGGAACCCCGGGGAAGGGTCATCAGCACCTCCGTGGACGGGCCAAAGCAAAACCCATCATATTTCTTCCCAAATGTAAACCCTACGCTTCACCGTGTAGGAGGCTGCTTTCAACTAGGGTAGAGCACTGTCTGTTCTGCTAGCAACCCCTCTCTGAGGTCGTTGTCCAAGAACGATCTTTCCCACCGCCCCACCTTTAACCCTGGAGAGGTGAAGAACGGAATCTGGGAAAAATCGGCCTCGGGTGCCGACGACGCACAGGGGAGCTGTTCGCTCTGTTCCCTGCAATGTGGGAAACGGCTAGTCTTGGCTTATGTTAAAGCCAGGAGAACAAAACCAGCCCCCCCCCCGCTTTCCCCACCTTCATACCTGGCGGGTGTTTTGTATCTTTCCAAAATCGCCGCGGCCTTTTCCCCGCTGAGGCCGCTGATCTGCATCAGCTGCCTTGCAAAGACCTCGTACACCGTCTGTGCCTGGGAAAGGGAGGCAGGAATGGGGTTCAAAAGGAGCCGCTTGGCAGTCGTGTGAATGCAGCTGATGACCCGGTTCAGCAAGACTGACTTTCTTCCCTGCGTTTAGCTACGGATCTGGACTAAGGGAGTGCTCTGGAAAATCTGAACGTTTCTCCGTGAGTTTGTTACTTAGCGCAAACTGGAAGAGCAGGTAGAGAATCAGTTTTGCTATTCATAGGCCACGTTCTGACCTACCTGTTTGTTTTGACTACGGTTCTGGGCGACCGGCCCAAAACCAGCTGGGTCTGCAAGATGTGGTTTACCAACAAATCAAATTCATGCTCATGAAAACCTTGGAAATTGCATTGACCCATCCTTTTGGGACACGGAAATTCCCTTTCTCTCGGGTCGATCTATTTATTCCCTCGGTGTTTCTCAATCTGCCCTTACCAAATGGGTGGCACGTCAGAAAGGCACCCGGTTAGCAAAAGATGGCTTATGCTGACTTGCAATGGGTCACTTTATGATTTTGGGGTCTTCCTCATCTGTCTCTGCTTATTTTTTTCACTCTGGGATCTCCCACATAGAAGGCACATGTTCCGTTCTTAAGTTGCTGCCCATCGCCTGTTTTCCCACCCAAAGGAGGCGGCGACTCCTGGATTCATCACCTTGTTCTTTACAGCCCCTTCGTTAAATTCAGCAAATGTCAGGAGCTTGTAGGTGCCCTGCCTGGGCTGCAGGGGGTGCTCACCCTCCAGTTCCTCTTTGGTACAGCTCAAAAGCATTTTGTCCTACCCAGAAAAAAAAGAAAAAAATTCCTTAGAAGGGAGTTCTTTAACCCTTCTTTTTCCCCACCATCCCTCCATGTCTTTATATGAACACTGTTTTCTTACTCTGCTTTTTAGTTTCTCAATCCTAGACTGGGGAAACCCTTTTCCTAGCAATGAATTTCATTTCATTTCATTTCATTTATTTATTATTCCATTTTACCGCAACAAGGGTGGGTTTAGTATGTCTGCCGAAACCACCACCTGTTTAAAGGGAGATCAAACAATCGTGTGCGGTTTAACAACCATAAAACCTCACTTTATGGACCGTTTGGGGGGGAGAGATGCCCGTTAAATCTCAATGTAGATCGTTTGCATCCATTTTTGTTGTTTCTGTAACTGCAAAATTGATGCAAATGGCGTCATTTACAAAGAAAACCTCAGTTTTACAGACATTTGATTTCACAGGTTAGTCTGTTAAATGGGAGCAGAGTCCGTTGTATCCAATGTCTGCTAAACTGAAGTGTGTTAAACTGAGGATCTGTTGTAATCAATTTGCAGGCCACTAAAAGAAAAATCATTCTATCCACTCTTTCTAAAAATCTTTCTATCTACAAACCCACAAACTTTGAAACTGCGCTCCTATGAGTTTGCATCTGTAATTAAAACAACTGGTAATCAAGAGGGGGAGGGGAGAAGTGAAAATGATCTCCTATTTAAAATATTCCTTAAGATCAATGCAATTTAATATTGCAACCCTCGCTTTCGTTTCCCCTCATTTTATCACACCAAACCTGTAGGAATAGGTTTGGCTGAGGGTCAGTGCCGCTGATCCAAAATCAGGCAGTGAATTTTGCGGTTGAGCGGAGACCTGAACCTCATTCATACCTATAAGGACGTTCAGCAGTTCTGCAGACGTCTGAACAAGAGGCTGTTCCAATCCAAACTAAGACTACTAAGGATGAAACCTGGAATGTTTGATGCACAAAGCAGATGCTTTAACACAGAGGGCCTTTCTTCTAAAAAGAAGGTAAGAATCTAGTCCTCATGATGCAGCTTACGGTCAAGGTGTCCACACTGCTCCAAACCTACCTGATACAGCCTGGTGAGGTGACGGGTCATGATGGTCAGATAGGCTGCGGATTCCCGAATGTCGCGGGTGCGTTTGACGAAGAAGCCATCTATGACCTGGGGAAGATGAAGACTCTGATGAGAGCAGGGACGCCCACGGGTGAAAGCGATGTCCCTCCACCCCTCTTGTGAGAGATAAACGATGTCTCTCCACCCCCATAGAGGCGTTCTGCCTTCAGCCTCAGATTTTTCATCCTTCTCCTTTTTAGTAATGTTTTTAATTAAGGTTTTATGTATTTATATTTTTTATGTTTTTACCCTTTGTTGTGAATCTCCCGGAGTTCCCCTATTGGGGGGAGATGGGCGGT